AAAAAAAAAAAAGATTGGAATTTCAGAAATTGCAATCGTTTTCGCCGATCAAACAGCACACAGCATTATATGACCGTTGGCAAAGTTCAGTCCTCATTCATCACCACTATTAGATGGCTCCAACAATGGCTGAATTATGCAGCGGCAGCCTAGCGCAATTGCTACCGTTTCGTCGAAATTCACGCCGAAAAGCCACCATTCAATTGCGCTGTTTGCATTCAGTCGTCACGTTTGTCAGAGATCGCAGTCGCTGCTACGGTGTCGTCACTGTCGTCATTGTCATCACCGTCGTTTTACTATTACTGTTACTGTTACTATAACTACTAGTATTATTATTTGTTATTTGTTAGTTTGTTATTGTTGTCGTCATTTCCGTCTTTGCTGTCCACTCGACACCACAAACGGCTGTGACGTGGTTGTTTTATGAATACATCAAGTGTTGCCTGATTTTTCAATAAAGGAAAACAAAGAAGCAGTGGTAGTTTTTTTTTTTTTTGCATAAAATTGTTTGTTATACATGTGTATGTACGTGTGTGTTTGTGTATGTTGGTGATTCAAATGCAACAGGTATTTATGTTTATTAAGTGATGTATAATAAACTTGTCTATTGTTCTTCGTTCTTTTTTTCCTAACGCTTTACTAACAAAAATAATTCTTATGACGAATTTAAAGTGGAAGACGAAAAAAAAAAAGTGATTTTTAACAGTATTGCATTTTTAGTTAGCAAAACTGATGCAGAAATATTGTTGTTGTTGTTTCTGTTGCTATTTTTGCACTCAGTTTAGTTCAATAGCAATCGTCAGTAAGTGCAGATGAACATTTGATAAAATATGCGTCTGTTTGTTATGCGGGTTTCACATCATTTTTCTCTCATTTTACGTTTTTGTTTTCCCTAATTTTGCAACGATGTTTAATACCGTTTGATGAAACAGTTTCGATGGTATGGACGGAAGGGAAAGAGAGGTCAGTAAAAAACTGGAAGGAAACATACACTGAGTAACTTTTTTACTTTATGGAGTCCATGCGTTTGCTAATAGGCTTTAGGTTTTGGAACTTAATGGATGTTGTTGCCAATTCTGTTAGACTTGTAGTAAAGAGTAGATTGGAGGTTTATTTTGGCAATCTGCAAAGGTTTAGTTTTATCGTGTGTTGCATTCGGGATAATATAATGAAAAAGGTTTAGCAGCAACAAAAAACAGCGAATTGAATAAATTCAAGGGATGTATGCTAGTTTTTTTTTTACGTTTCGTTTAGTACACTTACGGAGAATGAGGGAGAGAGGAAACAATTATTTTAGTACCATCTCTGCATCTTACTAGTCTACGGCAGACGTGGGAGAATTTTATGAAAGGCGGTCACAATAAGTGGCGACTAAATATGTGGCATTTGTTCAGTCGCAGTAGGAAATTTTGAGAGGAGTTATATATGTATGCTGCATTTATGCGTTTGGTTTATTACAATAATTGATTTGACTGAGATAGTAACTAAAGGAACTCCTCTACACGAGTTGAGCTCTATATAGAATTTCTGACATAAATTGTCTATTGCGGCTGAAGAATATATCTTATTTTCACTTTATTTTATGTTTGATATGATTTTAAAGTGATGAGGAAGAAAGTTGTCAAAGTCTTGCGTTTGAAACTTTTGGTGACGAACATTGGCATATGTGTGGGTTTATCTCAGGCTCCAGTGAGGTAGTGCTCTCTGGCTTGTTGTTGGCAATTCTTAATTGAACGTTACCGATGTAATTAAGAACTCATGCCTTAACTGAGACTTGCCATACAAAAGCGTAAATTAGAAAATGTTCATGAAACACTGTTAAGTTGTTGTTCGCAGAAGAGGGCTATTACAGCAATCTCGACTGGCAGAAACGATGCGGGAAGTTATGTTGCCTGTTGGTTTCGTCATATAGAATTGTGCTTAAAATGATCTGTATGGAGTTTGATCGTCTCCGTCTGCCCAGAACGAACTCGCGAATTTAGTGGAAGACTGTTGTCACTGTGGAATCGGATATGTCTGTGGCACTTCGGGTTTATCTTTGAACGGTCTCTGAATTTAACTTATTTTTAGCAGTAAAGTAGTTTGTCCCTTTGTGCTTGTAGTTTTTCACTCCTTTTTTGCATACCTAATGATCTACAAATTTTTTTTTAGATTTTGTTATTGAGGAGGTAAGGATATTCAAAAAGTTATTTCTGTTACCTTTTGTTTGTTATCAATCTATCGCAATATAAATCTAGTTCCTAAAAGAAAAGTCAGGAACTTCAACTTTCATTGTCACATAAAAATTTTATAGCCACGTAAGCTGTGAAACGCCAAAAAAAATAGATTAAACTTGTTTTTGACACGTTTAAGTCTCATTTTGCCAAATATAGTTTTTTAGGGGTTTTGAGTGAAGAAGAAGTATCAATGAAATATATTCTCATTTTTCAAAGTTAGCAAGAGATGGAGGAAACATGTAAAGGAAGTTCTGTCGTCATCATTAGTTCCAAGTGTTTGTCGCTTTTTTTCTAGAATCCTTCAGTTGATAAGTGTATTGGGGAGTAATTTTGCTGGTTTTTGGATGGGAAATCAGAATCGACTTTTACAGATCTGGTGTCATTGGGAGGTCAGATGGAACAAAAATTTTATTGCATGGATTTGCAAGTTATGTCATTTGGAGTTTCACTATTTTTTTTTCTGCAAATTGTTGAAGCATGACCGAATAATACTGATATGGTAGATTTTTTCAATATAGACCTTGCTTTTACCGTAAACAAGTCTAGACAAGTTTTTTGTTACAAATAAGAAAATTGGTCAGGTATATTAGATTTTGAATAAATTAAAATTACTACAACAAATTTATTAATTGGATGGTTCTTTTTAATAATACCACGAGTTCATCTTAGAAGAAATGTCGATTAATTATAGAAAGTAGTTGTTCTTCAACAAATTCCAAGCCTAAATAAGATAAACTGTAATCAGATGTTTTTGAAAATAGATCTTTTACGATACAGTTATTCGACTTAAACACGCAAATGTAAACTGTGTTCTAAATCCCTTTGACACAGGTACTCCACCTGATCGTTATAGATCCAAATGGTTTTTGATGTTTGGCTTTCACTTTCCTTTTCCTTTTTTTCTTTTTTGTAAATACTAAAAGGACAATAATTAATTTTTTAAAGATTACGTATATAAATTGCTAGCAATGGAAAATGAAATTGTGAAAGGTATGGAAGATAACAGTTGGCTATTTTCTTTACTTTTATCATCGCTTTTAAATTACTAAACATTCTGTGCAGAGACAGTTCTGTTGATTTTCAAAATTTGATCATTATTTTTCTTTTTGCAGCAGAGGTAGGCTTTTGCATGTTTCCTTTCTGTAAAGCCTAGCCCGCTCTTATGCTGTCGTCTGCTGTAGAACATATTTTTGACTCTTTTTTTGTTTTCATCGAGTGTAGGAAGGGCATCACTTACCCCATCCCCACTAAATAGGCTTGAACAGGTCAATCGTTTTCAGTCTGCGGCTTCGATCAGAACCACCTCTTCCTGAAAGGGAAAGATGGCCTGTTATTCCCAACATGAACCAAACCCTAACTCAAAAAATTAAGTAAATGGCGGTCTGCTATCGTTTGGAAGTGTTACACTTCTCAACAGCCACAGCTTCCGTCACCACCAGTGGCAGAAAAGGATTCTGCAAATGCTCCAGAGAAAACACACCTGCTTAGGAAACTGGTCTGGCAATGCTAGTAAAAGACTTCCGTGGTGTTACGCAGCTTGCGCGTAGGATGTAACCGTCGTGCTATCACAAGACTTCTAGTAAGATATTTATGAGTCTTACTCAAAAATAGAAATCTCAGCATCACAAATTATGAGCAACAAATCTTTGCACTCCGCTTTCCAAACAGATCACTTCTGATAATTTTTGGAGACTTCCCACTGTGAAAGTAGTTAAAAGAGCAGAAGGCATCAAAATGCCATTCAACGACAGGACAAACGGTATCTATCAAGAAGATCGCAATTTCTATTTAGAATTATATTAGTAACGTACTTAATAATCATATTACAAAATCATAATTATAACTAGTTCTAGCGAATTAATAATACCTATAACAAACAACAAAGAACAACAACAATATTTGGGACCCCAAACTATCATTGCATTAAACGAAAGCCCGACAACGATCGTGTATAGCTTTTTCACTTCTCTCGTTCACTATACCTTCGACATCAAGTTCCGACCTTATCAAACGTAGCTGAAATTGAATGCATCGAATTCAATATCCTAAGAAAGTCGCACAAAATTAAAAAATCATTTATTACTTCATACTGAGCTGAAACGTAAATAAATGATCAATAAAAAAGAACCGTGTTCTGCACAATTCTTATATCACTGGGAGGTGCGTCCTCTCTTCTCATTTGGGTAATTTTCGCTTGATTTACCTCTATACACCGTTGTATTAAATTCATCCGATGTTTTCTCATTTCTATCAACTAAAATTTTATTACTGGGTACCATCCAAACAACATAAGAATACTTTTTTGGAGAAACCTGTTCATTATAGGTTTATTACAGGAGTAGAAGTTACCTGTTCATGAATCTCTCTACATCTTTCGGCTTTATCAACGTTAGCAGAAAATGAATTGCTAGGAAGAGCAACGTTTAGTTCGAAGAGGATCTTATCATCAACTACTCTCATTTTTCCCAAGGCATCCTAAACAGAAAGCACACTTTAACAGGAAGTGAATGGGTTGAAATGAATCCTGAGACAAAATCACTGACCTGAAATGCTAGGAGGTCACCGCAGTCCACACCTTTGCCATCCATCAGAAGTAAATCCCGAACTAATATTAAATATTTATCTGACGTCAAGTCCGAAAAATAAATCAGCCTGTACGCAAAATAAACCAAAACCTCGACAGTTTGAAAAAAGTAAAGTCATGTCAGTCCATGATGACTTGAAAGACAAACATTTTTTTGCAAACAATACTTTATTCTTTTCTAATAACCGCACACACATGCAACTAAGTACAGCACTGAAGAAAAAAACTACGCTTTTCTATTATTCGAAATGAAATATCTATTGAGGTTGATTCTGCTCTACTGAACCAACGCTTGGAGGGCTCGACTTGACGGCATATGTTTGTAACCCCTTAGAAGTATCCTCCTTTACTCTTTTCCCGTATAAAAGATAAGGGCTCTGCAAGTCATGCCGGCAGTTACTCCATCCCATACCCAAACCAATGCCACTTCCAAACCATATCGGGAATGATCGCGACTTAAACAACGCTACAGAAGCTATAATACCGATTGCAGCTCCGCCAGCTACTTTAATCAAAGTGTCTGCTAAACACCTATCAAACTTCTCGCCAAGCTCGTTCTCTGATCGAGCGGCCATTGGTGCAACGTTTAGGCGAATTTGATCTAAATGAAAAAAATGCGTCATAAAACTAGTTTAACAAAGAGTAGGAACAATAATAAAACAATCCATAATAAAAACAACTTATAAAACCTCTTTATAAGCACGAGTTAGGTTCAAAATGTTTGAAAAAAAGTGGAAAACTTTCACGAAACCTCTGTTGAAAAGCAAAGAGAAATAACTTTACAACTGGGAAAGCTCTCTAATCCATGACAATTTACAAGAAAAAACTTTATCTGAGCCTTTCAACCATTTTGGAAAGGAATACACATCAAGTATTCATGGATTACCAATACAACCAGCTATAATTCCCGTCACTTTTTAATGGCACCATGAAAGTCCTCAAAACTGAGCCATTCATTTCTGACTTGAGAAGTACAAAAAAATTTTCCCCCAACCAGGCCTGTTTTTTCCTCAACAGTACATTTTCTTCTCACTGTATCCAGATTTCTGAAGTAACGATGTTCGTCAAAGGACACGCACCGTATATGGCAAGCACGATTTACCCGGAAGTAAAAAGATGCGCTAGGTCGACTTCTCAAGCAACATGACAAAAAAGCAACCAAATGCTCATTGTTTTTCGATCCGAAATTAAATCGAGCGGCCAAGGCAGAAGGTTCGTAAGAAGAAGGCACACAACGCTGACATTCTTTAGGTGTCGTAAAAAGACAAGCGATTCGAAGGAAACCTTGGTGTGAGAATACGGATAACAGAAGATAAAAAAAAGTTGAACCAGTAGCTGCAAAAATCTCCCTAAGAAACATCATTGTTCGTACACAGCTTTTAATCACTATCACTGTTGTTACCGTGCTTCGCCAATACCAGAACTGCAGGTCAGAATTAAGGTCACATGAGTGAGTGACTGACAGTTATAAACTACAACTAAGAAAAATGCTACAAAACCCAAGTAAATGAGATGTGGTTAAGAATACTCAACGATCCAGATCCCACATTTCTCCGGAATAAACAATGTTCGCTTGAAACTGGTGGGTGACAGAAGTTAAGCGTCACAAGTATGTTGCAAAAAAGAATGGTTTAGTGTACTTCATCCTGCCTAGGCCAATTCCTTCTTTCAAAAAAAAATTAGATAAACATATATTTAAAAAATGTTGAAAAATCGAGAAAAACTGTTCATAGAAATGGCGGACATTTTTTTGAGGACTTTTAGTAAAAAAAAAGGCTACTTAATATTGAAGTGACAAGTAGTGACAAGGCTTATTACTCAATTCATTAGTTCAATTTTTTAATAAAAACGATGACCATCCTTGTGCTAGCTGGTCCCACTTATCAAAAACAAAATCATTAAAAGAAAACTGGGGAATATAGATATTCCGCTTCCTTATAAGCGCAAAGCAATTAAACAACAGTCACCATAAATCTTTTTACTTTCTGATTTTAGAAACAAAATGTAGAAAAACTTTTCCATTTAGCAAAAAGAAAAAAATTTAACAACAAAAAATAAAAAAAAAAAATGAGATTTACAAAACCAACCTTCAAACCTGATGATGACAACTAAAACGTTGACGGCTGACAGCGTCAAGTTATATATGGATAAATATATAATATACTATACACCGCTATATACAACTATTAAACAGTGCTGTCAGAAGTGTTGACCACCTATAAATTTGATAAACTGTTACTACGTACAGTATTTTTTATCCGTCTATCAACGAACGAAGCAAAACTTAAAAAAAAAAAACAAAAAAATGAACGTATTAAAAGATATTCAACGTTTAACAGTGCCGATCCACAATTTTCTCATCTGGCAACACTGCTGAAAATCACGCACTTATTATTCTGCTGCAATGAAACAACTGGTAATATTCCAAAAAAATACACCCTTCTTCCCACTACTCATCATGCTTGTGCAAAATCATGTTTTTATGGATCTTACTCCATTGGTTAAGTTACTAAGTGGATGCGTTAAACTGCTTATCTTCCAAATGGATAGTGTTCGTTTCACCCAACTTCCAGAATCTTCACCAT